ATGTATGAATGAATGCAAGTATATAAAGTCTTTGTATTATATAAAAGCTTTATTTGTACCATATAAAGCAGTGCTTCCCGATCTTGACACACACATTGGATGGCACTGTTGATATGCAGGAGACTGCCCATGGCTGAAGGGCAAGGAAACTCTTGTCATCCCACATCTTGCTTTAGCTGAGGAGATAAAGACCTCAAGCCCACATATCACTCATTTGAGCCCCAAGTGCTCCAGTGTTGAGAGAATTATAAACCCCTTAGGGAGGTAGGCCTTCGTAGAGCTTAGTATTGTATTCTCTATATAGTTGGGGTTTTTTTTAAGATTTTTATTGGGGAATTGGGGGAGGGGAACAGCATTGGGGAATCGGGGAAAATGAACGGACAAGTTGCTGTCCTTTTGTTCTTCAGTCTAGTTGTGGAGAACATCGCTTCACTGGCCCATGTTGGTGTTATCCTTGCGCTCTTCGTGGGTGAGGCAATCGCGTGCCAGCCGTTGAACAGCCGCTCACGGCAGCTCACGAAAGCTCACATCGGCTGCCGGCCAGGCCCACTGCAGCCTACACCCATCACCAGCAGCTCACAGCAGCCCAGCTCCAGGTCAAGCTGTTGTTCACCATCTTAGCTGTAGAGGGCGCAGCATCACTGGCCCTCATGTGGGATCCGAACTGGGGCCCTGCTGCTCAGAGCTGGTGTCCCAAGCCAACTCTTAACCAACGCGCCACTTGGCCAGCCAAAATAGTTATTTTTGACAGATCATATTTGACATGTACTATAATACATACTTTTTATTGAGATTTCTTTAAAAAGGTGAGACTTGTTAGTCTCCTCAACGGCATATTTAGTGAATGCCTAAAAATATTCTATTGTACTTAATGTTCCATTTCTACAGGTATTAAACCATTAAAATATGTCTTTGTTACTAGTAACATCACTCTAATAAGTGTTAGAAATGCAAAAGTGAAACTAAAATTTAGCATAGGAAATTACAAGTAGGTGTCGGAAAAATGGATTTGTTGTCTTAGGAGAAAAGCATCTGGTAAAAATATTTCTAATTCTTTTTTTGAGCACATTTGCTCCATTTTTTTGTTGCCCCATTGACTGACATTAGCTTCCCAGATAGTGGTTTTTTTTGTTTTTGTTTTTTTTAATTTTTATTAAATTATTTTTTATTATGAAATACACATTTTTTAGAATTAGTTTCAGCTGTACAAACAGTGCAATAGTTATACTTTTTACTCCTCGAAGTGACAACCCCCCTCCCCCAATCCGCCGCCCCATTCCAGATAGTGTTTTGATAATACTGGAAGTTAAAAAAAAATTAAAACAGTATTTTCAGCATTCCTGAGTGTTTTACAATGCTAATTGACGTTTTTAACTATAGTACAATAACATGGTTTTTGTATTAATTTGATTATATACCATTTAATTCAGGGCTATCTTTTTTTTTTAAGATTTTATTGGGGAATTGGAGAAGGGAACAGTGTTGGGGAATTGGGGAAGGGAACATTGTGTTTTTCCAGGACCCATTAGCTCCAAGTCAAGTTGTTGTTCTTCAATCTTAGTTGTGGAGGGCGCAGCTCAGCTCCAAGTCCAGTCGCTGCTTTCAATCTAGTTGCTGGAGACGGGGCGCAGCCCACCATCCAATGCAGGACTGGAACCAGGATCCTTTTTGTTAAGAGCACATGCTCTAACCAACTGCGCTACCTGGCCAGCCCCAGGGCTATCTTTTATATCACTCTTCCTTCATACATTTCAAGGTCTCAGTGTTTTGTCCCAACCTTTTTTTTGTAGAACGTACACATTAGCTTTTAAAATAGAAGTATCATCTTGAGAATTTACTATTTTGTTTTTTGGGAACCTGGAATTAGGTTATATTTGTAAGAAAGTAAAACTTTGAGCAGAGTGTTTTGATGTTTTTTAACCATAAGAAATTTTATGGTGTGCTTTAATTAAAAATAAGCCAAAAATTTTTTTCAGCTTTATTGAGGTATAATTAACAAAATAGTAAGATATTTAAAGTGTACATCATGATGATTTGATATACATTGTGAAAGGTTATCTCCCATCTAGTTAACGTTATCTATCACCTGACATTTATTTTTTTTGATGAGAACATTTAAGTTCTACTCTTATCAAATTTTAATTACACAATACAGTGTTATCCACTATAGTCACCATGTTATACATTAGATCTTCAGACCTTATTCATCTTATATCTGAAAGTTTGTGCCCTTTTACCAACCGCTCCCTATTACTCTCTCCACCCCCCCTAACCCCCCCACCCCAACCCATCCCTGGGAACCACTTTTCTACTCTGTTTGTATGGGTTTAACATTTGTGTTTATGTATTTTTTTTTTAGATTCCAGGTAAAAGTGATATGATGCAGCATTCATCTTTGTCTGACTCATTTCACCTAGCATAATGCCCTCGGGGTCTATTTATGTTGTCATAAATAGCAGAATGTCCCTATTTCTCATGGCTGAATAATATTCCTCTGTGTCTGTGTGTGTGTGTGTGTCACATTTATCCATTCATCTGTTGATGGACACTTAGATTGTTCCCATTTCTTGGCTATTGTGAAAAATTAAGTTGGGGTTTTATAATCTAATTTTTATTTTAAGAACCAAGTATGCCTTAGAGATGTGTAAAGCATGCCCAAACTGTAAATTTTATTTTAGCCATTTGTTTTGATAACATATTTCTCTACAAATTTAATCTTCATGAAAATTCAACTTTAATAGGAATTAGAAACAATAGTATTTTTAAAGAAGTTTTTTTTATAATTTTTTTTTAAAGATTTTTATTGGGGTATTGGGGGGAAGGGAACAGTGCTGGGGAATTGGGGGAAGGAGAACAGACAAGTTGCTGTCGTTTTGTTCTTCAGTCTAGTTGTGAAGGACGTAGCCTCACTGGCCTAAGTTGGCACCATCATTGCACTCTTCCCGGGTGAGGCAGACCAGTCGCCGGCTTCTGGACGGCCGCTCACGGTGGCTGCTGGCTGCTCATGCTGGCTGCTGGCTACACACGGTAGCCCATGGCAACCCACTGCCACAGGGGCTGCAGCCTACGC